AAAAATGATAAGCTTAGAGTCATGTCTACAAATGCTCGCAGTTTAGGGAATAAGATCCATGAACTTGTGGCAATAATGGCAACTGATAGTGTAGATTTAGTCGCTTTTACTGAGACATGGTACAATGAGAAAAATGACTGGGACATAGCAATACCAGGGTACTCTTTATATAGGAAAGATAGGGAAGGCAAGAAAGGGGGAGGGGCGGCCTTGTATGTGAAGGATAGCATAAAATCTAGCCTAATAAAAGTTAGTGAGGCAAACATAGAGTCCGTTTGGGCTACGTTAGAATTTGGTAATCGCACAGTAACTCGTGTAGGTGTGATTTATAGGCCCCCTGGACAAATTGAAGAGTTAGATAATCTACTAGTTGAGGAAATAGCTAAAATGACAATGAAGGGGAAGTTATCATCATGGGTGACTTTAATCTTCCTGATGTAAATTGGAAAACAAAATTAGCTACTTGTGCCAGGAGCACACATATTCTAAACTCCCTACTGGGATTGTCTCTAAAGCAAGTTGTTGAGGAGCCAACTCGTAAAGAGGCCATACTAGATTTAGTGTTAACAAATGGAGATTTGGTATCAGATATTACTGTAGGTGAAAGTTTAGGATCCAGTGATCATCAGTCAGTGTGGTTTAATATAAGAACAGTGACTGAGTCACACCACACAAAAAACAAAAGTTTTAGACTTTAGAAAAACAGACTTTTCTAAAATTAGAATATGGGTAGAGGAGTCATTATCAGACTGGAGCAATTTAAATGGAGTCCAAGAAAAATGGGATTATTTAAAAGTTGCACTATTGAAGGCAACAGAAAATTGCATTAGGCTTGTCAGTAAAAGCAAAAATTCAAGAAACCACTGTGGTACTCCGCAGATGTGGCCAAAATAGTTAAAAACAAAAAGTTAGCATTTAGGAATTATAAAAAAACCCAGAGTAAGGGGGACAAAATGATCTATAAGATTAGGCAGAAAGAGGCTAAGCAAGTTATAAGAGCTTCCAAATCACACACAGAAAAGAAAATAGCACAGTCAGTAAAAAAAGGGGATAAAACATTTTTTAGATACATAAATGAGAAAAGAAAAGTAAAACAAGGATTAGTTAGATTAAAAACAAAAGAAGGAAGGTATGTAGAAGAGGATAAAGGTCAGGCTGACTGCCTCAATGAATATTTTTGTTCTGTATTTACAGTAGAAAATGAAGGAAAGGGACCTCAGTTGAAAAAAAGGATAAATGAGTCATTTATTACACGTGAGTTTACAGAGGAAGAGGTTCTATTTCAACTGTCAAAAGTAAAAGACAAATAAGTCAATGGGACCTGATGGAATACACCCAAAGCTATTAAAAGAGCTTAGTGGTGTACTAGCAAAACCATTACCAGATTTATTTAACCAATCATTGTTAACAGTAGTAGTCCCAGAAGATTGGAAGTTAGCGAATGTTGTGCCCATTTACAAGAAAGGTAATAGGGAGGAGTCGGGCAACTATAGGCCAGTAAGCCTTACTTCAGTAGTGGGGAAAGTGATGGAAACCATGCTAAAGGATAGGATTGATGAACATCTAAAAACACATGGATTTCAAGATCAGAGACAACATGAGTTTACTTCAGGGAGATCATGCCAAACAAATCTTATTGATTTTTTTGATTGGGTAACTAAAATTATAGATCAGGGTGGTGCAGTAGACATTGCTTACCTAGATTTCAGTAAGGCTTTTGACACTGCTGCACATAGAAGGCTTATCAATAAACTGCAATCTTTAAGTTTGGATTCCAATATTGTTGAATGGGTAAGGCAGTGGCTGAGTGACAGGCAACAGAGGGTTGTAGTTAATGGAATATATTCAAGCTTGGACTTGTCACCAGTGGGGTACCTCAGGGATCTGTACTTGGACCCATTCTCTTTAATATTTTTATTAGTGATATTGCAGAAGGTCTTGATGGTAAGGTATGTCTTTTTGCTGATGATACCAAGATATGTAACAGGGTTGATGTTCCAGGAGGGATAAGCCAAATGGCAAATGATTTAGGTAAACTAGAAAAATGGTCAGAATTGTGGCAACTGACATTTAATGTGGATAAGTGCAAGATAATGCATCTTGGACGTAAAAACCCAAGGGCAGAGTACAGAATATTTGATAGAGTTCTAACCCCAACATATGAGGAAAGGGATTTAGGGGTGATTATTTCTGATGACTTAAAGGTAGGCAGACAATGTAATAGAGCAGCAGGAAATACTAGCAGAATGCTTGGTTGTATAGGAGAGGTATTAGCAGTAGAAAGAGGGAAGTGCTCATGCCATTGTACAGAACACTGGTGAGACCTCACTTGGAGTATTGTACACAGTACTGGAGACCGTATCTTCAGAAGGATATTGATACCTTAGAGAGGGTTCAGAAAAGGGCTACTAAACTGGTTCATGGATTGCGGGATAAAATTTACCAGGCAAGGTTAAAGGATCTTAACATGTATAGCTTGGAGGAAAGACGAGACAGGGGGGATATGATAGAAACATTTAAATATATAAAGGGAATCAACACAGTAAAGGAGGAGACTATATTTAAAAGAAGAAAAACTACCACAACAAGAGGACATAGTCTTAAATTAGAGGGACAAAGGTTTGAAAATAATATCAGGAAGTATTACTTTACTGAGAGGGTAGTGGATGCATGGAATAGCCTTCCAGCTGAAGTGGTAGAGGCTAACACAGTAAAGGAGTTTAAGCATGCGTGGGATAGGCATAAGGCTATCCTAACTATAAGATAAGACTAGGGACTAATGAAAGTATTTAGAAAATTGGGCAGACTAGATGGGCCGAATGGTTCTTATCTGCCGTCACATTCTATGTTTCTATGTTTCTATGTTTGATTCTCATCTTCTGATTGGCTACTGATATCAAATTCTCAGTTGTTGGTTTTTTCATGAAAATAGTCACTGAGGGTTTAACAAGTATGTTGCAAAGCCAAGATGGCATCCTCCACAAAATTCACTGCCAGATCTCAGCCAGGGTATCCTTCGTTCTTAGACACGACTCAAAAAATACCTAGTTTAAATTTGCACCATGGCGTAGGATATCTGCACCGAGCTATAGTGAAGAGAATTTTATGACATTTTAGTGGTTCAAGTAGTTGAAGAGCATAGTGTAGGGTGTGACGCATGATGTGCTAATGTATTCTCTTCCCTTATACAGACTATAAAGGAACATTCAATAAAACTGACACCAATAACCTTGGCTTGGCGTATGACTACTCGTCAGTAATGCATTATGGAAAGTGAGTATCCTTTTAAAGACGTCATTCTTAAAAACACAGGGTTATTCATTAAAATGTAAATTGGAATTTGGTGAGTTTTGACTTAACCCCTTAAGGACACATGACATGTGTGACATGTCATGATTCCCTTTTATTCCAGAAGCTTGGTCCTTAAGGGGTTAAATGAGGAGATATGACTGTTGTCATTTGCATGCTGATTGTGGCAAACATATTTACTAGACTTATGTTCGGTGAGAAATTCGGCTCGGCCAAATAATTTTTTCCAAAAATAGATTATTTTTTTGTCCCTGTTTTGGGTTCCTATATGGAAATGGACACTTTAAGTTCACTCAGCCTTCAGTGGATCTTTATATACTCTGTACTGATGTACTGTGTTAAAGGACCACTCTAGGCACCCAGACCACTTCAGCTTAATGAAGTGGTCTGGGTGCCAGGTCCAGCTAGGGTTAACCCTTTTTTTTATAAACATAGCAGTTTCAGAGAAACTGCTATGTTTATAAATGGGTTAATCCAGCCTCTAAAGGCTCTAGTGGCTGTCTCATTGACAGCTGCTAGAGGCGCTTGCGTGATTCTCACTGTGAAAATCACAGTGAGAAGACGCAAGCGTCCATAGGAAAGCATTGTGAATGCTTTCCTATGAGACTGGCTGAATGCGCGTGCAGCTCTTGCCGCGCGTGCGCATTCAGCCGAATGGGAGGAGAGGGGGAGGATCGGAGGCGGAGAGCTCCCCGCCCGGTGCTGGAGAAAGGTAAGTTTTAACCCCTTCCTCACCCTAGAGCCCGGTTGGAGGGGGACCCTGAGGGTGGGGGCACCCTCAGGGCACAATAGTGCCAGGAAAACGAGTATGTTTTCCTGGCACTATAGTGGTCCTTTAAGCCAGCAGTACAGAGCTTACTATAGTGCTGACATTTTGCACTCCTTGATGCCTTCTTTAGGTTTGTGTCAGATGGGTTCGTAGGAATCTGAGTCTGGTACAGCTGCAGTGTATATTCCTCTTCACTACCATGCCTTTGAAAAGATACATTCTGACCATGTTGTATCTTCCTTTCTTGTTCCACAAAGATACACATTCAGCATAAACTACCAGCTGCCAACCATCAAACCGATACCCAACAATTTCATCCCAATCGGACAGAGATACGGGCTGAGTAACCTGGATGTAGCCAAGATTAACAAGCTCTATGACTGCAGTAAGTACCTTGGCAGGACACCAGGTAATCTGGCACACATCATGCCATCTAAATATGCTATACTGTGGAGTTTCAGCTTCCATCATTTGCTCTCAATTCCAATCATGGGAATTGTATTGTATCAATCAGAGAGAGAGAGAGAGACAGTCAGTGTGTGGCTTCATCTGTAGTTTACTGTTAGAGTATAAATAAAAATGTGATGAATCTATTGTCTCGTCAAATGCCAGAGACTGATCATTTGACTTTGGGAACAACCCTGGTGAATCATGTGGTCCAAAGCTGATGGTTTCCACCCGTAGAATGCCCACTGGTGCTTACTGATTCCTCTTTCCAAGCCATGGACACGTGTTGATTTTGTCTCTCCAGATGTTTGCAGTTCTGTCCTATTGGACGACAAAGGCACCTTATTCTCACCCACCAAAGAATCAAATTATTTGAACAACAACTGTTCCTGGCTTATTCGCATCCCATCTGACAAGGTACTAATGAATTTACTAAGTTTAGCTTCTCTATGTTCTTACCTAAGTATTGCAAAACAAAACCCCACCAACTTGTTACCCCCTTCGTCCCCCATTGACCTCTAATAATTAGGTTTTCTTTAGTTATGAACTACATTTAGTTTTTTTAAATATAGGGCTTGGATTTGCCAGTTGGCAGGACAGACAGCTAGCTACAATTGTCTACTTTGTTGATGCAAATACATATTTTTTTTTTGTTTGGTTTAATATATTATGAGTTTTTACTTATATTCCAGTTATTCCTTATTTAGGGCGCTAACACGTTTAATTTTTCCATAGAGGATGGAAAGAAGGTCTGGCTCATGTAGCCCTTTGGTTTTGGGGTAGAAGGGATGTGGTTGGCACTGTAATAAGATGATATTTACAGCATAGCTAAATATCTTCCTGACAGGTGCTATTACAGTTTGAAGCATTTGATGTTCAGGTCTCCAAAGGTTGCACTGCAAATTATATAAGAGTTTACGACGGACCCGGCAGGAATTCTGCTTTGTTACTGGATCGATTCTGTGAAACAGGGCAGCTGCCATTGGTGGTTTCCTCTATGAATACAATGTTGGTTGAGTTCATTACTGATAATTCTGTGAGTGCAGCTGGCTTCCGAGCCTCTTATACAACAGGTATGTATGTACAGTGCATGGGAAGGGTTTATTAATGACCTTTTGTGGATCCTTTCAAACTGTGTGTAAACTAGCCAGTAGAATTCACAGTGGCCCTTTGGAACCTCACCCAATGGCAAGGTTCCAGTGTTCCAGTGAAATCAATGCACACTTAAACCTGCTCATTTTGCAAAGTGTTTAAAAATCATCTAAACTTGGCCTTAAAGGGACACTGTAGGCACCCAGACCACTTCAGCTAATTGAAGTAGTCTGGGTGCTGTGAGCCTTTTGCACTTAGTACTACAATGTAAAACATTGTGGTTTCAGAGAATTGAGTAATGCTTTCCTATGGGGAGGGCTAATGCACACATATGCATTAGGTCTCCCCCGCCAGCTGACATGGGGGGGGAGGGGAGGAGCGTGGGTGGAGCCTGGATTCAGGGAAGTGGCTCCACATTTGAAACTTTGCCTCATAATTTCTCTCGAATAATAACTCCTGTTTATTCCCCCTCCCCCCAAAAAAACAACAGAGAGTCTTCATTTTGAGATGAATTTACAAACACATAGAGATTGTTTGTTAGAAATTTACCATTTGCTTTGTTTTATATTGAATTTCAGACAAATTTAACCTATTCAGCAATTTGGAAGTGAACAAATTTCCAAATTGGCAAAAAACAAGAGCAAAATGAACCATAATTAATCAAATTAATTTTATTTAAGTTCATAGGTTCATTCATTTTAAGAAGGAGATAAAATTGGGGAGTTATCTACCAATGAACTGAAAGAGCAAAATTATAAAAATGTTTTTTGTGACTTTGTGACTGCCACCTTCATTCATAAGGAAAACTGGGCGTCCGAATTTCAGAAATGACCAATATTTTTCAGACAAGTTTTGGTTCGCCTGAATTGATATTTTCTGAATTTCGGACAACCCATAATTTGAAAATTAACAAATCAAAAGGCAACAAATGTATCTCCTGTGCACATCTATATAGTCTATATGGACTTAGTAATATTTTTCAATATTAATATTTAGGGGCTTTGTTCAATAACGTGAGGTGATGCTGTTGTTTTCTAATGTCAATTTCTTTGTTGTTTTGAAACAGTTAAATGTGGAGGCACATTCATTACACCCAGCGGAAATGTCTCTACCCCAGGCTTCGGAAACAGCAAGCTGTATCAACCATTCAGTAACTGCACCTGGAGTATTATAGCCCCAGCAGGAAATCAGGTAAGAAATATCTGTGTGCCAGTGGGTCCAATTCATGGTTTTCTTGGCGTGTAGTCCTGAATATATTTATATATGAAACCAAGAGGCTGCACTCACCTGAACCGAAGGTGCTGCTCGAGCATTCATTCATTTATTCATTCATTCATTCATTCATTCACTAAACAGCAATTTTAAAGCTCACAGAATGTAACAGTTTTTTTCAAAAACATCTAACCTAGGAAATAATAATGGAGGTCTAGCTACAGTACAGTATCACACATTGAAAAAATATGGGGTGCATTAGAAAAGGGGTGCATTGTGTTGTAGCTCTTAGACCAGTTCAAAACATTCCATGAGCTTTGAAATTCATGTTTAGTGAATGAGTGAATGCATTGGATCTTGTATGTTGTATAAATTCGCCCCAGCAGCAACCTTATAAATAATGTATGCATGTTCAGATGATTGCAGCCCTATTGGCTTTATATTTAATTATTATTATTATTACTATTATAATTCTCTCTCTCTCTCTCTCTCTCTCTCTCTATATATATATATATAATTACTCAATTGAAAAGGACAAGCCCTTATTACTTATTACCAGGGCTGCCATCAGGGCGTGACAACCATGACGGGTCCTTGACGCCCGGGCCCCACGTGTATCAGCGGAACTGCCGCCGGTGCATCTGCACCAGGGCCCTTGCGCTGATGGGGCCCATCAGGTGGACCAAGCATTTAGGGCCACCCAATGGGCCCTATTATCTTCAGGGGCCCGGTCAGCGCTGTAATAGCGCAACTGGGCCCCTTTAAAAAAAAAAAATGCAGCCGGAACGCAAGTACTGCTGGGAGGAAGTGACGTGGGGTCACTTCCTCACAGTTTACTCCGCACGGGAAGGAGGAGAGAAAGGTCACGAGGAGAGGCAGCCAACTCACATCATCCCCAGCCACCCACCCTAAGAAATGGTAAGGCTGAAAATGAGGTGTGTGTATATATTTATGTATGTGTATGCCAGTGTGTGCATGTATGTATGCCAGTGTGTGTATGTATGTATGTATGTATGTATACCAGTGTGTGTATGTATGTATGTATACCAGTGTGTGTATGTATGTATGTCAGTGTGTGTATGTATGTATGTATGTATGTATGCCAGTGTATGTATGTATGTATACCAGTGTGTGTATGTATGTATGCCAGTGTGTGTGTGTATGTATGTATGTATGTATACCAGTGTGTGTATGTATGTATACCAGTGTGTGTGTGTATGTATACCAGTGTGTGTGTGTATGTATGTATGCATGCCAGTGTGTGTATGTATGTATGCCAGTGTGTGTGTGTATGTATGCCAGTGTGTGTGTGTATGTATGTATGTATGTATACCAGTGTGTGTATGTATGTATACCAGTGTGTGTGTGTATGTATACCAGTGTGTGTGTGTATGTATGTATGCATGCCAGTGTGTGTATGTATGTATGCCAGTGTGTGTGTGTATGTATGTATGCCAGTGTGTGTGTGTATGTATGCCAGTGTGTATGTATGTATGCCAGTGTGTGTATGTATGCATGCCAGTGTGTGTATGTATGTATGTATGTATGCCAGTGTATGTATGTATGTATGTATACCAGTGTGTGTATGTATACCAGTGTGTGTGTATGTATGTATGCCAGTGTGTGTATGTATGTATACCAGTGTGTGTGTGCCAGTGTATGTATGTATACCAGTGTGTGTATGTATGTATGCCAGTGTATGTATGTATGCATGCCAGTGTGTGTATGTATGTCAGTGTGTGTATGTATGTATGTATGCCAGTGTATGTATGTATGTATGCCAGTGTGTATACCAGTGTGTGTGTATACCAGATGTGTGGCTAGTATGCCAGTGTGTGTATACCAGTGTATGTGTATATGTGTGTATACCCGAGGTATGTGTGTATACCAGTGTGTGTGTATACCAGTGTATGTGTATACCAGTGTGTGTATATGTATGCCAGTGTGTATGCCAGTGTGTGTGTGTATATGTATGTGTGTATGGCAATACCAGTGTGTATGTATGTGTGTGTGTATGCCAGTGTGTGTGTATGCCAGTGTATGTGTGTATGTGTGTGTATGCCTGTGTATGTGTGTGTATGCCAGTGTGTGTGTATGCCAGTGTATGTGTGTATGTGTGTGTATGCCAGTGTATGTGTGTATATATGCCAGTGTGTATGTATGCCAGTGTGTGTGTGTATGCCTGTGTGTGTGTATATGCCAGTGTGTATATGCCAGTGTATGTGTGTGTATGCCAGTGTGTATGCCAGTGTGTGTATGCCAGTGTGTGTGTATGTATGCCGGTGTATGTATGCCGGTGTGTGTGTATGTATGCCGGTGTATGTATGCCGGTGTGTGTATGCCGGTGTGTGTGTATGCCAGTGCGTCTGTATGTATGCCTGTCGGTATGTATGTATATATCAATATGCAGTATGTATATGTATGTTTGTCAGTATGTATGTCTGCTTGTATATGTGTGTGTGTGTCAGTATCTCCCTATGCATGTGTGTATGTCTGTTTCAGTATTTGTATCTGTTAGTGTGTGTGTATTCCTGTGGGCGGGATTTGGAGGCAGGCTTGAAGGGGGGCCCAGACCTTGAGCTGTGTTAGGGGCCCCAAAATTTCTGATGGCGGCCCTGGTAAGGTGGAAAATTGCATGTTATCATATTATCATATATTCTATAAAAAAATGCTCCAGGATACTTTTATGACATAATAATTTGAGCAGGGTGTTTTAGCGAGATATTTCCATCAATGCCTGATAAGGTATGTCAGTGGTTTCTGCTATGGTTTCATGTTGAAACAGAAGATTCAGCGGATGCTGAGGTCTCTCAGTCTTTCCTCTTTCCAAGGTCAATAGGACAAGTGTCACTCAGCTGGGTAATAACACCATGTAGACCCCAGGATGTAGAACGCCTACCCATACCACAATACAATGATTTCCCACTGCTCCCTGAAAGAATCTGTCCTAAGAGATGTATTTATTTCAGGGACCTAGAGGAGTTCAGCAATTTAATGACATTGAACCAAGTCCATCTCTGAAATATATGTATAATTCTGTAAACAGAATTATCCCATTATCCAAGCAACCTGGAGGTCACTGATTTTCCCAGTATATTCTGGAAATGTTTGCATTCCGAGTGGTTTTACCTTGTCGTGTTAAATGTTTTTCAACGACTAAAGGAAGACACTATTTTTAACTCACTTTTATAATCTCATGTGATGTACATATATATAATTTATACGTTGTGGCAAAATTCAACACCTTAACTCCCCTGAAGCCAACATATTCCTTAACTAGAAAACCAATACCGCGAAGGGTAGAAAGACCGACTCTCAGCACTAAATGGGTTGTATAGGAAGTGGGGGTCTCACTGAGAGCTGAAATCAGGAAGTGTAGGTACTCTAAACATGCAAATGCAGCTGGGCTCAGATAAATAACCTTTAGAGATGGTCAGGCCTAATGTTTGAGCCAATAGCCAGCATAATCAATGGAAAGGCTGAGGTAAAGGGATGATTTTGGAAAGATCAGAATTTTTAAATCTGACTCGATACCTCCAAAAATGCTCCAGAACTGCTGAACGCTGTTGGAGAAAGTCTCACTGTGCATCTGACTTTCTCCACTATAGATTTATGCTGCGCTCATACAGCTTGGCTCTTTCCTCTGCAAAAGTAAATTACTTCAATACCCTCAAAACCACACTCTCCCGCGAACCCAAATGACTATTTCACACATTGAACTCTCTTCTTTGCCTTATTGTTCCTCCTCCACCTACTAACTTGACCGCCTCAGACTTTGCAACTCACTTCACTGACAAGATCTTTACAATCAGGGAAGAGATTTCTCATTGTTCTTCTTCCCCTTACAATACTTCCCATAACCTCACTCCCTCTGCTGTTCTATGTTCATTCGCACCTGATACAGCGGAAGAGGTTTTTGCTCTGCTCCAGTCCTCCTGCCCCACCACCTGCTCCCTAGATCTAATTCCCTCGCATCTCATCCGTACTCTGTCTTCTTCTCTTTCTCTACCGCTCACTAAAATTCTCAATCTCTCTCTTTCCTCTGGCATATTTCCATCGCGCTTCAAACATGCAACTGTAACCCCAATTCTAAAAGAAACCCAACATTGACCCTAACTCCCCATCCAACTACCGTCCTATCTCGCTAGTATCCAATGATCTACTCGCTGCAAAATCTATCCTAATTCTCTAACCTTTCTGCGGCTTTTGACACTATTGATCATCAACAGCTTCTTCTCATCCTCCGCAATATCGGTCTACAAAATATTGCTCTCTCCTGGTGCTTCTCCTACCTCTCCCAGCATGTCCCCCAAGGTTCAGTTCTTGGTCCCCTACTGTTCTCCATCTATACTGCCTCCCTTAGTAAACTCACTAGCTCCTTTGGCTTCCAATATCATTTTTATGAAGATGACACGCAAATCTATCTGTCCTCTCCTGATCTCTCCCCGTCCCTCTTGACTAGTGTCTCTGACTGCCTCTCTACTATTTCTGAATGGATGGTGGCCCACTTCCTTAAACTCAACTTGACCAAAACCGAAATTCTGGTCTTTCCTCCCTCAAGTGTTGCTACTCCTGTGTCTGTCTGTCTCCAAGTCAACGGTGCTACCATCAGCTCCACCACGCAGGCTCACTTTGACTCTGACCTCTCCTTAACGCTTATGTTCAGTCTAACGCCAAATACTGCCGCTTCCATCTCATAAACATTGCGCGCATCAGACCCTACTTAACGCCAGATGCGACTAAGGTGCTGGTCTATTCCACTTCCCTTTCGCGCCTTGACTACTGTAATCCGCTTCTCAGTGGTCTTACGTGCTCCCAACTTGCGCCGTTACAGTCTTCCTGTCCGCCTGCATCTCCCACGCCTCACTCTTCTGTCAGTCCCTACATTGGCTTTCTGTAAGATATAGGGCTCAATTTAAAATTCTGGTTCTTGCTTTCAAATCTCTACATAATGCTGCTCCCACCTATCTATCCTCCCT